TTAATCATTTGAAAAAAGCAAAAGATATAGTAGAAAGTGCCAATCTAGCCATCAAAAGTTTGGAAACGGATGCTCGTTTTTATACAACAAATTTGGTTCAAGCCGTTGCTGAAAAATTTTATTATAAAGCTCAACGTCGTATGTTGGCGAAAATTAAAACCTTTGATGAATTGGTTAAGTACGTTGATCAAATTTATGAAGAAGCTTTGCTTTACGATTATAACAAAATTAAGAAAAAATTGGATGATGGTCAGAGAAATTCTTCAAGTACGACTTCATTTTCAACTGAAATGAATTTATGTTATGTATGTAATAAGTATCATAAGAATAATTATGAATGTTTGAAGAATTTCTCGAAAGAAGCCATTGCCGATGTTATCAAGTCCAAAGGATTATGTTATCGTTGTCTTCGTAGAGGCCATACTGGACGTGAATGTGACAAGATTACAAAATTTGTTTGTGACAAATGTTCGGGTCTTCACGCTTCTGAATTACACGAAGTTGTTCATCTTTTTTTTCAAGCTGTTCCAAGGACGTCGAGTTCTAATGAAACTAATACGAATGAAAATACGAATTCAAATATTGATCAACAATCTTCGAATCTATGAATAATGAATTAAGAATTTATGAAATTATTCATAGTGACAAAGTCGAATCGTGGTGGGAGTGTGACGAAACGAGAGTGAATTCGTTTCTAGTTCGATTTCTAGAACTTTGTTTTGATTTTCTGCATATAAAAATAGCTGTGTTTCATTGTATTTTTCAAGCTGAATAATTTGATCTTTAATAAACCATATTATATTCAAACGATTAAAAGTTGTTTTTCTACATTTATTAAAGATCACACGTCAGCATTGTGATTTTTTATGTTTGATTTTGTGATTATTCAAAGAATTTTATGATTTTGTGAATCTTCTCAAGATTTCATCGATTTAAACCAGAAACCAGAAACCAGAATCCAGAACCCAGAGACCAGAATCCAGAAACCAGAAACCAGAGTCCAGAAACCAGAAATTGTCAATATGATCTCGATTCCTGAAGAATTAAAGAAGAAATTGACATCGTGTCGAAGAAATGTCTCACGTCTGACTGAACGAGAATGGGACATCGATCGTGTCGAAGCTTTGCGTTCCGAATTGAAGTCTTTGAACGGAGAGTTGTTTGATTTGTTCCCGGAAGACGATGAGTTTCCATCTGAAATTACTGATAAAGTTGTTTACTATGATACATTGATGACTCGTTATATAAATAATTTGAAATCTACGATCTCTGGCTCTTTGATATCCCCAAGTCGTAATTATAATGAGATTTCGTCAAATGGTTCTGCTGATTCTTTGGTACGTAACGATCATAATAATGAAAATGTGAATGTCGATAATGCTGCTGTTGATGGAAATAACGTAACATCAGCTGGAGGAGATCGAGTAAATGATTTGGTTAATTCTAACGATTCTTTTTTGCGTGATGATCTTGGCCGTAACTTCGCTAGTCTATCGCTTTCGAATACACGTCGTCCAATTAAAACTGACCAGTTGCCTTGTTTTGATGGAAAATATACAAATTGGAATTCTTATAAAATTATGATTGAAAATTTATTGATAAAAGATGACATGATTTCGGAAGAATTGAAAAAGTCTATGTTGTTGAAAACTGTGAAAAATGAGCCAGAACGTTTGATGACAATTTTAATTGGTCAACGATTGCCTTTAGCAGAAATTTGGTCGAAAATTTGTGAAAAATTTAATGATCCTCAGCGTGCAATTTTGGAAATTAAGAACGAATTGAAATTGATACCGGAGATAGAATCTGAGAATGAAGTTAATCATTTGAAAAAAGCAAAAGATATAGTAGAAAGTGCCAATCTAGCCATCAAAAGTTTGGAAACGGATGCTCGTTTTTATACAACAAATTTGGTTCAAGCCGTTGCTGAAAAATTTTATTATAAAGC